AAATACCTTACCACCCTTTATATACAAAAAAGTGTCACAAGTGCTATCACCAATCATTGCAACACTCTTTAACAAATCCATTGAATCCTCCACCTTCCCTACAGTACTCAAAATAGCAAGGGTCACCCCGATCCACAAAGGAGGAGACCAAACAGAGTTGAATAACTATAGGCCAATATCCAACTTACACCCTCTCTCAAAAATCTTCGAAAAATTAATTCATAAACGAATCTACTCCTACCTTATCTCCCAAAACATACTCAACCCCTGCCAATTTGGATTCAGGCCTAATAAAAATACTAATGATGCTATTATACACATGCTAGAACATATATACACTGCAATAGAGAAAAAAGAAGTCCCACTGGGGATCTTCATTGACTTACGTAAAGCTTTTGATACAATTGACCATGACTTGCTCCATGTAAAATTGTCACACTATGGTATAAGAGGGCACTCCCTCAACTACCTCAAGTCATACCTCAGCAACAGAAGCCAATATGTGTACGCAAATGGGGCAAACTCTTCTGCACAACCAATTACAGTTGGTGTCCCACAGGGAAGTGTCCTTGGCCCTCTTCTCTTTCTCCTATACATAAATGACCTACCAAATGCTTCGCAATTACTCAAACCCACACTATTTGCAGATGACACTACATACGTCTTCTCCCACCCGAGCCCAGTCACGCTAGCCAATACTGTAAATACCGAATTACAGAAAATATCTGCCTGGATGAGGACTAACAAACTTAAACTAAACATTGACAAAACCTACTTCATTCAGTTTGGTAACAGAGCTACAGATGTTCCTCTTAACATAATGATAAACGGATCACCTATCACAAAGCTAACAGAGGGAAAATTCTTAGGAATCCACCTTGATAATAGACTCAAATTTCATACACATATACAACAAATTTCTAAGAAAATTTCCAAGACTGTAGGCATACTATCGAAGATACGGTACTATGTTCCACAGTCAGCCCTCCTGGCCCTATATCACTCTCTTATTTACCCCTATCTCACCTATGGAATTTGTGCATGGGGCTCAACAAAAATTAACCATCTCAGACCACTAATTACCCAACAAAAGGCTGCAGTTAGAATGATAACAAATTCTCACTACAGGCAGCACACTCCACCAATATTCAATACACTAAACCTACTCACCATACAAAAACATCCATACTTATTACTGCACCTATTACATACATAGAACACTTAACTCTGATAATAACCCTCCCCTCAAACATCTCCTTGCCAACCTCAACAGAACACATGACCATAACACAAGGCACAGATCACTCTTTGATGTTCCTCGTGTCCATCTCACACTATGCAAAAACTCATTGCACATAAAAGGCCCTAAAATCTGGAATTCATTATCTGTAAATATAAAAGAAACACTACCTGTTTATAAATTCAAGTCTCTTCTCAAAGATCACTTACTCACCCAAAACCAAATAAATACTGAATAACTGAACCTTATAAATTGTATATCTTAAATGTTTCTCACAATTATATCACATAAATGTTAAACCTAAAACCCAATCTAACTTTATTATTTTTTAAATACACTACCTAACAGAATACTCCATGTGACTGAATGTACAACAGTGCATGCAACCATATGACCTGTCTTTGTAATACTCACTTGTGCTTTATAGTAATCTGTTTACATTAATGTTTTATCACTGATTTCATCATTGCTTAGTTAATCTTAAGTTAATTTTAAGCCAGCTCGTAATGCTATGCATAGTATAAGTGGCTTTGGCATGCTGCTCTTATCTGTATTTTTTTGTACCTCTGTATGTGTGCTCAAATTGTTAATAAATAAATAAATAAATAAAATACCCCAAAGGAAATACAGTGGACCCCCGCATAGCGACTTTAATCCGTGCAAGAGGGCTGATTGTTATGTGAAATGTTCTGTATGCGAATGAATTTTCTCCATAAGAAATAATGGAAATCAAATTAATCCGTGCAAGACACCCAAAAGTATGAAGAAAAAAATTTTTACCACATGTAATATACATTTTCCTACACACAAAGAGAAGGATACATGCACAATAGTAGAGTAGTACATGCACAATATATATTGTGCATGTACTACTCTACTAAATGAAGAATAAATGACACTTACCTTTATTGAAGATGCAGCAATGACTGATGAGACACTGTGTCCTGGGAGTGCCTTTTCCTCCTGAGTACTGTAGGTCCTGTTTGGCATTTTCTTCCAGAACAGGCCTTATCACACTGTGTATGCCACTACGATTCTTAAATCTCTCAAACCAACCTTTGCTGGCTTTAAATTCACCAATATGAGCATTAGTTCCAGGCATTTTTCCCTGTTCACCTGGGTGTTAGTCGACTGGTGTGGGTTGCATCCTGGGAGACAAGATTAAGGACCCCAATGGAAATAAGTTAGACAGTCTTCGATGACACTGACTTTTTTGGGTTATCCTGGGTGGCAAATCCTCTGGGGTTAATTGTTTCTTGGTATTCTCAATAAGCCACACCAACAACGGTGCTACAGCAGCAGCAGCAGCTGACGGTGGTACAACAGCAACAGACGATGCTACAGCAGCAGCAGACGATGCTACAGCAGTTTTCCTGGTCTCATTGTATGGAATGGAAGACATATTACAGAAATTGAGATAATTTTGACTGGTTTTACAATGAAAAGTTCCTTGAAATTGAGCTCAAAGTAGCAGAAATGTTCGATTTTTACCAAAGTTCAAAAGTAAACAAATCATGCTAAGCGTCCAATACACGTCAACTGGTGAGTCTGATATTCTTTCACAAGTGCGCCAATATTATTTATACCATTTCTACACTAATGCAGTAGTCTGCATAACAGGAAATCTTATTTTTTTGTGTGAGAATAAAAAATCAAAGTGGAAAGCAAAAGAACTGTAAGATGGGCCTGGGGACGTGACTAATGAACAGAGGAAATATTATTTAGTGCCAGGAATGTTTTTCTTGTTTATTCTGGACCCTATTTGGAAATTGGCATCTTTTGAAATTTGTGTGAAATTGGCAATATTGCTAAATTCTGACCACTTTATTGGATAGTTGAGATCAGTAAATGGGTGGTTTCTTGTACTCATTCGATAGAAAAAATGGAGTTCTAGTGAAATAGTTATGATTTTTGTCGACTAGTACGCTGGAATTGGCCGAAAATAGGGCTCAAAGTGGGCAAAATCGCCGATGCATAAACATCGTCGAGACCGCTAACTTCACGAGAGCATAATTCTGTAAGTTTTCCATCAAATTTCATACTTTCGGTGTCATTATGAACGGGAAAAAAATCTCCATCTTTTCATGAGAATTTTTTTTTTTTTTTTAAATTTTGGCGACCCTGAGAACATGTCTCTAAGAGGGCCTGGCGACCCTCAAAGGGTTAAGAACCCAACAAAAGCTGCTGTGCGGATGATTACCAGCTCCTGTGCCAGACAGCACACCCCACCACTATTCAAAAGCCTGAACTTGCTAAATGTACGAGACATACACTCGTATTATTGTGCCTACTTCATATACAGAACATTAACCATTTCACTGTCAGTGCCGTAGTACTATGGCTTGTAAGCCAGTGTTGGTGCCATAGTATTACGCCAAAATTCTAGTAGCTTCAAATCTAGCCGAGAAAGTTGGTAGACCTACATGTGAGAGAATGGGTCTGCGTGGTCACTGTGGGCAGTATAAAAAAAATCCTGCAGCATGCAGTGCATAATGAGAAAAAAAACTCCAACCGTGTATTTGGATTAAAACTCCAACTTTGAGGTGTATTTTTGTATGGTACTTATGGTTTGTAATCTCGTTTTCTTCATCTCATTTGATAGAATGGAAGATATATTACAGAAATAGAGATGATTTGGTTGGTTTTACAATGAAAAGGACCTTGAAATTGAGCTCAAATTAGCAGAAATGTTCGATTTTTCCCACTGTTCAAGAGTAAACAAATGACGACACTGTCCAATACGTGTCCAACTGGCCAGTCTAATACACAATCCCGAATGGGTTGACATTATTTATACAATTATTGCAATAATGCAGTAGTCTTTTTAACTGTAAATCTTCTATTTTTTGTATGAATAAAAATTCAAAATGGAAAGCAAGAATAATATGAAAGGGGCCTGGAGACATGATTAATGAACAGAAAAAATGTTATTTTAGTGCCATGAATGTCTGCATTGTTTATTCTGGATGTTATTTTGAAATTTGCATCTTTTTTAATTTGTGTGAAATTGGCCAAATTGCCAATTTCTGACCACTTTATTGGGTAGTTGAAATTGGTAAATGGGCAGTTTCTTGTACTTAATCAATAGAACAAATAGAGTTGTAAAGGAATAGCCATGAGTTTGGTCGACTGGAACAATGGAATTGGCTGAAAATAGGGCTCAAAGTGGGCAAAATTGCCGATGGGTGTATATTGCCAAGATCGCTAACTTTGCAAGAGCATAATTCCATAAGTTTTCTATAAAATTTCGAATTTTTGGTGTCATTATCACCAGGAAAAGATTATCATTTCATAAGAATAAATATTTTTTTTTTTTTTTAGTATTTTGCGACACAGAGAGGCACTTTAGGATTTGGGGTCACAACAGTCAAAGGGTTAATAGTAGGATAACATTATAATAATTATATAATATCTTTATTTACTAAAGTACATGTACAAGGTATACAGACCATAGCTGACATAAATGACAATACTATATAGAAAGCTGCTTTTGATGCTGAGCATTTCGGGCAAATTAGATCAATTTTGTCCCAGGATGCGACCCACACCAGTCAAGTAACACCCAGTTACCCATTTTAAACTGATGGGTGAACAGGGACAGGAGGTGTCTTATAGAAACACATCCCAAAGGAGATTCGAACTCCGAACCTCAGTACAATAATAAATTAGACATATGTGCAACACTTGGGTATCTTTATTGTATAATTTATCAACTTGTCAGTTCTCTGAACCATTTATCTAAGATAACATTGTTTTGCAGAGTGATCCAGTGGAAGATCCTTTCGAGGATGCAGAACTGGAGGCCCTGCAGTTGTCTGAGATGTCCGTCAAGTGGGTGGAACTTCGGAAGCACTTCCTCCTTACCATATGTGGCAAGGAACCATCACCCATCAGAACTGCCAATGTTCTTCATGTTTTAGCTTCAGTAACAGTATGTATAGCTCAGTTACCAGCATTTACCCTTAATAATTGATGCTATTTTTTTTCTACACGAAATAAACTTAAGTCAGTATCTCCATATGTTCTTTAGGTTAACATTTAACAAAATTCATCCAGTCATAATAGCCAGTAACACCAGTAAATGCAATAATGCTTAAAAGCAAGATCATGTTGTCAGACAGGAAAATAAAGCTGAGAGCCACCAAGAAGATTTAAAAAAGATAACAGTAAAAATCCAGCACTGATATATTAGTGCAATTGATCGTTGATCATCTGGCCTCTGGGTGAGAAGGTAAAGTCATCACTTTCTCAACACTATTGGATGGTCATGTTATTCTATTTTATTGTCCCTGTCTTTCGCACATTCCTTATTTTGCATTATCTATTTAGGTACCAAATTGGTCACGACTGCAGGATAATGTTGAGCCAAATTTGTAACACAGAATCAAAATTTTATTGCTTTGCTAAGGTTACAGTGTGTTTACATTTCATAATTTGATTGGTACAAAGAAAGCCATTATCATGCCGAGGCATTTCAGGCAGACTTACCCTAATACTTATAATAATAATAACAATAATAATAATAATAATAAATTTTTATTTTGACATGATACATGGTTGTACAAGGGAATATAATAGTTGGGTTTACATGCCAAAAGCCCCTTTGCATACAAAGCATTTTGGGCACACTTAAAATTAACTTAAGATTAATAAGGCAATAGTAAGTACATATGGTCATTAGTTGAGTTACAATGAGTACAAGAGAATTGAGTATTCTATTAGATAATGCTATATGGCTTTAACCCTTTCAGGGTCCGTCCCGTAGATCTACGGCTTTACGTTCAGGGTCCAAACCGTAGATCTACGCCATGAGCTCAGCTCACTCTGATAAACTGTGAGTGGTACATTTGGGCCTAGATATGAGAGAATACATCTATGTGGTATGTGTGCACCACATAAAACACATCCTGCAGCACACTGTGTATAATGAGAAAAAAAATGAAATCATGATTTTTCGATTAAAACAGCAACTTTGCAGTGTTTTTTCGTATGTTTTTTATAGTTGTATTTGCGATTTCTTGGTCTCGTTTGATAGAATGGAAGACATATTACAGAAATAGAGATGATTTTGATTGGTTTTAGCATTGGAAATGGCTTGAAACTGAGCTCAAAGTAGCGGAAATGTTAAATTTTTGCCGATATTCAAGAGTAAACAAACGACCTCACACGTCTAATACACGTCAGCTGGTGGGTCTAATATACATTCACAAATATGGTGATGATATTTATACAATTATTACAGTATTGCATAACAGTAAATCTTCTATTTTTTGGTGTGAATAAAAATTCATTATGTGAATAAAAAATCAAAATGGAATTTATTTGTAAAGCCTCAAAACATAACTAATGAACAGAGGAAATGTTAGTTTAGTGCCAGGAATGCCTACATTGTTCATTCTGGACCCTATTTTGAAATTGGAATATTTTGAACTTTGTGTTAAATTGGCCAAATTAACAATTTCCGATCACTTTATTTTGTAGTTGAAACAGTTGACTTGGCGATTTCTTGTGCTCAATCGATAGAATAGAAGTAATACTAGTGAAATAGCTAAGAATTTGGTTGATTGGAATAATGTAATTGGCCTAAAATGGGAGTCAAAGTCGGCAAAATCGCAGATTCGTAAATATCGCTGACACATCAAAATTCGCGAGAGCATAATTTCGTCAATTTTCCACCAAATTTCGTACTTTTTGTTTTATTACCTTCACAAAAAGATTCTCTACGATTTCATAAGAAAAAATAACAAATTTTTTTTTTTTAAATTCTTGGACACTGGTGCGTGACTCCAGATTTGGGCCTTGGACCCTGAAAGGGTTAATAAGTCTAGTAGAGCAGTTCAGTATAGAATAATTACAGTTTTGATGTAGTTTATAAAAAGTCTAGACCAGTGAAGAGTGGTAGATTGCAAATATTCAATACAGTGGAACCTCTACTTGTGAGCGCATCCACATGTGAATTTTTCCAAATACAAGCAGTCGATGGGTCGATTTTTTGCTTCCATACACGAGCAAAATTTCTATAAGCAAGCAGACCTCAAGGCAGGTTCCTTGACGCTGGTGAGGGGCTCTTGCTCTCGATCTAGGGAATTGTATTTCATTTGTTTGTTGGACTATCTTATTTGAAACTTGAGCAATGTATGATGGAAAGATGCTTCTTAACCCTTAAATGGTCCAAACTTATATATACGTCCACCTGCGCAGCACCCCGAATATTTTGAGAAAAAAAATAGTTTTTTTTATAGGAAAAAAGAGCATGTGGTACCAAGGCATCCTCAATTTTTTTCACATAGCGCACACTGAGTGCGCACACCCATTCTCTCATGTCTAGGCAACTCAGGCCTATCGTGCCAGTGTTGAATGAATGACAAATGAAACGTGTACATGTATATACGTTTGGGGCTCTACGCGAGAGAACGTATACAGGTACCATCCGACTTATGACCAAGCTTGGTTCTGACCAACTGGTTGTGAGTCAAAATGGATGTAAGTCGAACTTTTGAAAATTGCCAACATACTGGGTAGGGCATAATGTCAAACCTTTGCTATATAAACTACCTACACAATACTGTAATGTAATGTACAATCATTATTTCATTCTTTTTACCATAATTTACTTATATTGATATATTTTAATCATTTATGTACTGTATATTATGTATACATGGCAGTAAACTGTATTATAAATTTTACATCTCATACAGTATCATATGTTACTGTTATCTTTAAGTATTGTCGACACAGTGGAATGGGAGAATGCCACTGGTAGTGTCATCCTGCCAGAATGTACTACAACCTATGTCCTAAGTTGTTATGAACATAGTCAGTTGGTCCCTGGGTTATAGTGCTTTTTGTAACAAACTAACAAACTTGGCACGTCTAGGGGTCTTCATTTGTGGAGGAAAAGGAATTTCCTTGGTTTCTGTTTACAGTGGACCCCCGCATACCGATTTTAATCCGTGCAAGAGGGCTCATTGGTATGCGAAATAATCGGTATGCGAATGAATTTTCCCCATAAGAAATAATGGAAATCAAATTAATCCGTGAAAGACACCCAAAAGTATGAAAAAAAAATTTTTACCACATGAAATATACATTTTCCTACACACAAAGAGAAGGATACATGCACAGTAGTAGAGTAGTACATGCACAGTATATATTGTGCATGTACTAGTCTACTAAATGAAGAATAAATGACACTTACCTTTATTGAAGATGCAGCAATGACTGATGAGACACTGTGTCCTGGGAGTGCCTTTTCCTCCTGAGTACTGTAGGTCCTGTTTGGCATTTTCTTCCAGAACAGGCCTTATCACACTGTGTATGTCACTACGATTCTTAAATCTCTCAAACCAACCTTTGCTGGCTTTAAATTCACCAATATGAGCACTAGTTCCAGGCATTTTTCCCTGTTCACCTGGGTGTTAGTCGACTGGTGTGGGTTGCATCCTGGGAGACAAGATTAAGGACCCCAATGGAAATAAGTTAGACAGTCTTCGATGACACTGACTTTTTTGGGTTATCCTGGGTGGCAAATCCTCTGGGGTTAATTGTTTCTTGGTATATTCTCAATAAGCCACACCAACAACAGTGCTACAGCAGCAGCAGACGATGCTACAGCAGCAGCAGACAATGCTATAGCAGCAGCAGACGATGCTACAGCAGCAGCAGCAGCAGACGATGCTACAGCAGCAGCAGACGATGCTACAGCAGCAGCAGACGATGCTACAGCAGCAGCAGCAGCAGACGATGCTACAGCAGCAGCAGACGATGCTACAGCAGCAGCAGACGATGCTACAGCAGCAGCAGACGATGCTACAGCAGCAGCAGCAGCAGACAATGCTACAGCAGCAGCAGACGATGCTACAGCAGCAGCAGACGATGCTACAGCAGCAGCAGACGATGCTACAGCAGCAGCAGCAGCAGACGATGCTACAGCAGCAGCAGCAGCTGACAGTGCAGCAGCAGCAGCTGACAGTGCAGCAGCAGCAGCAGCTGTACCACCAATAGTAGCGATGGTTGATTGGGGTTCATTATACAACCTGGCCAGCTCGGAGACACGCACTCCACTTTCATACTTATCAATGATCTTTTTCTTCATCTCTATAGTAATTCTCACCCTTATTGCTGTAGGGTTGGCACTAGAAGCTTTCTTGGTGCCCATGGTCACTTATTTTCCAGATAAAATCACCAAAAACACTGTAATAATACGAAATGTTATGATTGTATGCTTGGATGCTACCGCGGAGGCTGGCTGGTAAACAATGCCACCGGCGGAACATGTGAGGCTGGCTAAGGTGCACATTGGACGCGTCTCGGACGAACAGCGGTGAGCGGGTTTTTGAGCGGTATGCGAGGCAAAATTTTTGCGATTAAAGTGAGCGGTATGCGGAATAAACGGTATGTGATGCCAACGGTATGTGGGGGTCCACTGTAATTTATTAATAACCATAATAACCACATAAATCCACCTTCTCATATTTTGCATTATGAGTAGAACACTTATGCCACTCCTCATTAAAACATCACAGTACAAGATTAAGTATTTACAAATGGCTCTGAGTGAGTCAGGAATTATCAGTACAGTGGACCCTCGAGTTTCGGCAGCCTTGACTTTCGTGAAATTCGACCTTCGGAGAGTTTTTTTGGAAAAATTTGGCCTCGAGTTCTGTGAAAAAACTCGTGTTTCGGTGACCGTCCAGTACCCGTCCTCCCGTCACCACGCACACAAAGCCAGTCTCCCACGCCATTCACGTTCAGTGTGCCATTGTTTACCAACACGTGACCATCACCCCGCTGGTTCATACGTAATAATCCATTGTTTTTTGTGATTACAACTGCTAAATAAGTCACTATGAGCCCAAGGAAAGCTAGTGCAAGCCCTTTGGTAAAGAAAGTGAGGAACACGATCGAATTCAAGAAGGAAATCATTGA